CAAGACATATCAGGCCAAATGAAAGAAAAAGTTGCAAGGATTTCCACTTTGCAAGTTGGGCAGAATGCCTGGAAGGGACGAAATTTAATTCTTCCCATTAAATGGATACCCAGATGCCTAGTCTTAAGACTCAGATAAAGAATAGCTACTAGAAAGAGAATCATCTCTAAATATGGGCCAGAGAATTCAAGATTTCAAGTTTGGCTTCCTCAGTGTGCGAGTGAGACACTCAGAGTGACAGAATATGAAGCGTCTCTGTGAGTTCAGTTAAGGACACGTCCCAATAAGGAAAAGCTGTGGGGCTTATGATTGTTTTATAAAACAGTGTGAAGGGAATTGTTCGACATTCATTTACACGTGACAGACTCACAATAATTCATTTCTTTAAATATGAAGCCCCAAATCACCCCATCTAAAATTAAGTTTCCTACCAACATTGCTTAGTAACTATACAGAGGAATGAACGCTGGCCTGGAGGCAGCACCCACAAATCTCCTGAAATAACGACACCTTCTTCCACTTACAAGAATCCTACTCAAGACGCTTGGGTTCTCATCCCCTTCCTCTGGCTCTAATGAGCTCTGTGGCTCTCACACAGGCTCAGTTCCAACATATAAAATGAGAAGGTTATGTTTTTTAAGTCTTTAAAGTCCCTTCCAGTTCTAAATTCTTTGATTCATGCCTGAATCTCTGTCAGTCGATAGGAGTATTAAGTCAACTGACTTGGTCTTCAGAGTTGCAGAAGCATTACAGAGGCTCCCAGCTCTTCGGAAGTGCTGGTTCGTAGGAGGCATATATACCACTGCCGGAAAGCGAGTAGAGGAGAAACCTGTTCTTTCCTCACAAGGGGCATGAGCAGCCTCCACAATGGGCTGATGAAGGGGTGGGGTAGGAGAGAGCAGCAGACAGGGCAAGGATGCTATGATGGTGAAGAGGCAGTTTTGCCCTCAGGTGGCACTGGCCAGATTTTCCTTAACCACTGCTCTGATGTCAGCAGGCAGGCCACTGGCCTCCACGCCTCCCCTTCTGCAGCTGTGACTCACAGGACTCAACCAAAGAGTATCAAGACTTCCATGCCCTATCTGTCATGTTCATTAAGCAGCTCTCCCTGAATCTTAAACAAAACCAAACAAAAAACTATTCTCTCCAGTAACCCTCTGGCAGGGTTTGCCACAACAGAAGGTCTGAGGCAAAGAGAAATATCTGTACGAGAAGGGCTTTTTCAAATAGAAGGGATAAATTCAAACTACTTCAATCACTTTGTGCTTCTGTCCTCAGCAGAGAAGAGAGACATTCCTTTTTTCCCCCCTGAGAGGCTTGTCCCTATTCAAGGCTTTTCCATAGGCAGGAAGACCAATGCCAACTTCTCAATCTATAGGAAAGTTTTGTTTGTCCAACTAACCTACCAGAAGAAGAGTCTAAGTTCAATCTCTTTGTCTTGTTTTATAGATGATAAATATACTGCCTTGTTTAGGACACATTTTTCAAAATGTTACCCAAAAGAGAACAGGTCAAAAGAATTTTCAAGTTTGATTCTTCTAACCGTACAATCTGAAATGTAGCAAGATGTTGTCCAAGTATAACTTGCTTAAGAACAATACTGTAAATTGAGATTTGTTCCTGGGTACACTACACATTTGTCACTTCTTGGACAAACAGTTTTGGTCAACTCCCTTCTGTTTTATTTGAATCAAAAATTCACTTTCATCCTAAACAGACATGACAAAAAAAAAAGTTCTGTTCTGAAAAGTCTACAATATCAGCTCATTCTTTTACTATCCAGTCCTGCAACCTTACCTTGAGTATTTTTAGCCAGAGCCAATCTTTCAATATTTACTTTACGTATGTAAATAACACACATTCCTTTTAGAAATGCTACTTACATTCCAAAAAAGCTTTGAATCTGATTGCCCACTGCTGTTATTTGAGTCTTAAGCATTCTAATTCGAGTTTCTGGGTGACTGGAGACACCACCCTCATCTTATTGGATTCATTATGAATAACACAAGGATAATGACACGCGTAATTACTGCCAGACAGCTTGTCACCCTTTCTGAAGTTCCCCAAAGCAAGATGCCCCAAATGTATGCTCATAATTGTTTATTAGTTGATCAGATTACAAAGCAAACCTTAGCTTACTTAAAACAAACTGGCACTTTTTTCATTATTTAACCTGAGTTACAATGTGTCTAAATTAAACACAGAGTATAAATACGCATATCCATCAGTATATGAGCTGTTTGCATGAAGGTGCCATCATAAATAGAAGTCAACCTGCAACCAATCTCTGTTTTACAAGAATTATTACTACTGTTGAAAATGGTGAAATCCCACTAAGTAAAATCAGATTATTTTTCTTACAAGGTGAATATACTGTGTGTTTCAGTGATGATGATTCAAAAATGATCACTTCAAATTGTTTATCTTAAGATTTTGGAGAATCTAATATCTAAAATCCTACCTGCTCTCTGGTTTTCTCATCCTCCTCATATTGTAGATTAAATCTCACAACATTGTTTTGAAAGCTTTTGTCTGTCCTCTTTCTGACTCCACATCCTATTTTTATATAGTAAATTTGTGGACAATTTGATACCCAAAACTCTATGCCCATTTTCATCATATCTCCATGGTAACTACACATTCAGCCCAATGTAAAACATCAGACCAAAGACAAAAATACATAGCCAAGAAGAAACTGATTTCTAAGTACTGACTCTCTGAACCAGCCCTGTATGCTTGCTATGGATTCCATTCTCAACATCTTTGTAAGGGAATTAACTGGGCTTTTTAAATCACCCTTTTTGGAGAAATGACATAAAGTTGATATACAAAATTGTTCATTATCCTGAAGGATTGCTTAAGATGTAATGGTAAAGGCAAAATAATTGCCTAGATTGAAATCCAAAGGGAAGGCAAGTTATGAGGTCAGGTGTGGCTTCTCTATGATTTGAGCAAAACTATTACTTCCATCAAGGGAGTAATTGTCCTTTCAGCAGGAAACTCATTGGAACTCCCTTGAGTCACCTGTGAACAGTGTTGTTACAGATGTGACATTAACTTATATCCACAATCATAGTTCCATGATTTTTCAATGTAAACATTAAAAGCCCCGTATGACGATTTTATGGGCCTGCACATTCTCTTGATGGTTAAAGATGACAGGCCCCAAATGGTATTTAGCCCAGTGACAGTAACCCTGTAGATGCCTACCTAGAAGGGATGACCATCACAGCACAGTAACTCATGTGTTTATATGTCAGTTTCCCCAGCACCCATCATTATAATGTTCAGGTTTTGTAACACATCAAACATTACAACATGAGAGACTGTCAAAGGCTTACCCAAACTACAAAGCTATACTCTTGTTGGTGAATGATTCAGATAATTACAATGAAAATAGTATCAACAAGGTTCAGAAACTGAAACTAATATTAAAGAAAACAAATGAAGCTTTACTGTGTGGAAAAAGAATATAGGATTCCAGCCTAGAATCATAGACTCCTACAGTTGGAAAGTGCCATAGAGGTCATCTAGTTCAGCCACCCACCTGATACAGAAATTTTTTCTACAACCTTCTTAAGGGGCCATTCATCCTCTCCTGGCTCATGTGCAGTGCCCGAGAGTGCACTACTTTTGTTTGTTTGTTTTGGAGCGGGGAGATAATTAGGTTTGTTTATTTATTTATTATTAGAGTTGTTTTTTTGTTGTTGTTTTTTTTTAGTGGAGGTACTGGGGATTGAACCCATGACCTCATGCATGCTAAGCACTAACCCTACCACTGAGCTAAAGCCTCCCCTTCAAGAGTGCACCATTGCTACTGAGTCAGGATTTGCCTTGCTGAAACTTCCAGTCATTAATTCTGTTCCCTAGAGCTTTTAATTCAATTCTGCCATTTTCTATACGACCTAATTAGTTGGCTTTTAAAATACATACTGATAATAATAGTAAGTAATAATAATAATAATAATAATAATAATAATAATAATAGCAAGCATTTATTGAGTACTCACTATGTGCCAGTCTTTGGACCAGGTATTTCATATGAACTATCTTATCTATTTAGTGATTATGAGTGTAAACTCTGGAGCCAGACTGAGTTAGAATTCTGGCTCTGCCATCTACTAACTGTAAGCCATTAGAAAAGTCACTTAACCCTCTGTGCTTTGGTTCCTCAGCTATAAAATAGGGATAATGAAAACAAGGCCTACATGATAGGGCTGTTATGAAAACTAAATGTTAGTGCACCTAAAGTGTTTGGAACCATGCCTGGCACATGATGAAGACAGTAAAAATGTTGTCCTGCTTGTTGCTATTGTTATTAGTATTATAATTCCATTTTACAGCTGAGGACGCTGAACTTTAATAAAGAGCTTAGGCAACTTAAGTAACAATTACCATTGTGAAATCACATCTGCAATCAGTTTATTATCCAACGTTTTTGCTACTGCTCGTGTGTTTGCTATTCCATTTAGCTTTAAATATTAGCCTATTGTTAAATAGATTCAACTCTGGGAACTCTTTTCAGTGTTTGATTTGTTCTAAGAGTTTGGAACCAAGAGTATGGTTTCTCTAAAAGAGACATTCCTAATACTATGTTCTTCCATGAAACAAAGCCATCCAGTGTTAACTGAGAGATGGTAAGAGTGTTTTTGGAAGATGATATTATAAAAAAAAGTATCGAGAATCATAAAATCATTCAAAGACTTGGATTCAATAATCCTACTCCTGGAAAGTTATTCCAGGGAAATAATTCAACAAAACAAATAAGCTGCTTACCCTCAAGTCTTTCTCATAGCGTTACCAGCTCCATGTCCTGAAACAATATTAGGGGTAAATATTAGGGGTATAGTTAGGTAAATTATAAACAAACATGAAGGAAAGTTCTGTAGCTAATTAAAGAATCATTATAACATATAACATGGAAAGAAGTTTATGATATAATATTAAATAGTGGGGAGGGTACAGTTCAAATGGTAGCGTGCATGCTTAGCATACACAAGGTCCTGGGTTCAATCCCCAGTACATCCTCTGAAAAGAAGTAAGTAAACCTAATTACCTCTCCCCCAAAATTTTTTTTAAATTTTTTAAGAATTAAATGGAAAAAGAAAAACCCAAAATTGAGTTATAATAATCGCTATTAAAATATGTGCTCTTGAATATAAAATTGGGGGAAAATAGCCCCAAAAAGGAAGTAAGTCTGGTAAAACGATATGACCACTGGCTCACTTCAAAATAAGTTTTTAAAAATATTTATACAATACTATACAGTAGTGAAAATATACTAAAACTACATGTATCAATATGAATAAATCTTGAAGAAAAAAGTTTTAGAAAGATACATAGGACGTAGTACCATTTATAGTTTTTATTTATTTATTTTTATTTTTTTCTTCTTTTTTTTTAATGGGGTGAGGTAATTTTAGGTTTCTTTATTAGTTTTTTTTTTAAACAGAGGTACTGGGAACTAAACCCAGGACCTTGTGCGTGCTAGGCATGCACTTTACCACTAAGCTATACCCTCCCCCTTACAAAGTTTTTAAAATTTATAAATACCAAACCATATATTATTTTGGGTTACAAACATACATATACCTGTGGTAAAAGTTTTAATATTTGGATGGGAACAATAAACACCAAATTTAGGCCAGTGATTACCTCTGAGGCTTGGGAATAAAAAATGACCAGGAAGAGATTCCCAGGAAGAGACTGCTTCTTAAGCTGGATGGGGAGTGGCAGCCGAGGGGGACTGAAGAGAGATTTAAGGAGACTGCAAAACAGGCTGCGCCGGGAGAAGCCGACGTGGAGCGAAACAGCACTGTATTCTAAAACAAGATGGCGCGAGCCTGCGTGGCGCACTTGTTCTGCCCGCACATGCGCGTTGTTCATTTCTTTGTTCATACTGCTTATGTACTACTACTAGCGCATGCGCGCCTTTGCTTTTTCGGTTCATACGGCTTATATAACTGGTGCGTGCGTACATTTACTGTTTACCTATTATATAGGAGAGTTGTTGTGACCTTCGCCCTGGGTCCCACGGCCTACTCGCTTAAGGCTACCAACAGGGAGTAAACTGGTTATTTAACAATATACCTTCTACCCCTGATTCTCTACTCGCCCGAGGAGTTTGTTAAAAATAGGGGTGCCAGGGCCCCACCACTAAGGACTGACATTCAGCTGGTTTAAAGTAAGGCCTGGGCCTCAGTAATTTAAAAAGCTCCCAGATGATTCTGAGTATCCAGTTCTCACCGACTCAGTGAGAGATGAGAACTAATTTTTTTTTTTGTAGAGCTAAAATATATAAGTGATTAAAACTGATCTTCAATGTTGATATGTTTTAGCAATATAAATACGAGATTTTAAAAACGTATTATCTTGGACTCTGCTTAATTCATAAAATGAGAGAACCCTTCCGCTCTCCAAGCCTTGGTTATCTGTGGGCTCTCTGCTATCCACAGTACAAAGAACCCGGCATGTACATTATGCAAGAATGGAAACCAAGCCCAAACAGATCAGGGAACCAGTACTGTTTAAACTGTCATGCCAGCAACAGCACAACTGAAAATGACACCCCCACAGTATTGTTTTCCCTGCACAGCGAATTTCACAAGAGCTCCCTTGTAGAGGGTGACATCCTCCTCCTCTGGGCCTCTCTCTGACTGTAATAAAGGAAAGAAGAGAAAGAAGCCAATCTGTTATGTCTCTGCAAGGCAGGCTTGTCAGATTTCCATGAGGCCAGGCCAGCGGGTACAGTGGGCCAACAAGGAAGATAGCCGACTGCCTTCGAAGGCAGTCAGTTCTGAGGATGGTCTTCAATCCCCAAGCAGAAGCCAAAGGAAGCTACAGTGGCCAAGTCCGGGGCTCGGGTTAGAAAGATGAGGAAGGAGGGGCCCCAAAGTATTGACCAAAAGCAGGTCTACCCCACCCACTCCCCAGCCGTTTGCCCTCCTCATTCTCCTCCTCTTCTCTGTTTCTTCCCTTCAGTCTCTTGGCATGGACCTCTGTCATTATTCTGTCAGGTCTTCTTTAGAGATTAGAGAGGGGCGTGTGAAGATAAGGGTCTTAGGGAAAAAGCAGTAATTTCTGTGGCAGGAAAGAACAGTGAAATAAACAAAATGTAGGAACATTAAGGAAAGAGCCAAATTAGTAGAGTAACCCTTACAGATGAAATTGTAGTTCTTAGCAACTCAAAATTAATTGCTCTTAAAGAGAGAAAAGAAATGTTCCCTTTTGGTTAAAACAAAAACAAAAACAAAACAAAACAAAACAAAAAAAAAACCAACAACTCAATATTGCACTATTTACTGCACGATCAGTCCAAAGTTCTGATGGAACATTCTACACCTGAGGTCCTGTTAGTCCAGGATTCCAGCATCAGAGACTGTGAGAATGTTTTTACTAAGGGACTTGAAAATCCCACTGGGTCACAAAGGGTTAAGCATGGGATTAAAAGGAAGGAAGAGACATAAGGAATGAAAATAGCATTGATGAAATTTATTTGTATTAAAGAATACAAGCTTTTAAAATGGGGATATTTCAATTAAATATTTTGGCTGAGAGAGGCTAAGGAGTGCCTTATTAAGAGCAGTGACTTTTTCTTAGAAAAGGGAATTTGTGTCAGTGAGTGGATCTTATGGTCCATTTGTAGGAAGAAGTTCATTTATCAAGGCTCAGGAAAGAGGCTTCTCAATTTTCTCTAGACTGAAGAACAGTGATTAATTTTGAGACATTACAGATGGATGTGCATGTAAACAAAACGTGGGCGGAAGCAGGAAGGTTAAGGAATACTACCATTGCTGTTATGCCTGGCATAAAATTTTTTTTAATTTATTTCTCCAGACCTAATCATCCTTGCATCAAAAACAAAAGCTGAGGAATTAAGCTCTGATCCAAGAACAATTTGGATAATATTAATTATGTTGCTAAACAAACTCAGAAACAACAAAAATAAATCAAGCCATATTTCAGCTCCAGTGAAAAAAGCAGTGTCTGCCAAAAATGCCCTAATAACAAGGGAGAAATGATTTTCAATCTTCTAAAAGAAGTCTAGCCATGAAGACAAAATAAGAAAAATTAAAACCTCTGGGAAGGAAAGAGAATAAAGCAATTTGCTATTTTAATAAGTAGTGTAGTCACTGTAAAAGTAGAAAAAGAAATGCTTTAATGACTGATGTGTGCTGGTGATTCTCTAGAACTATGCGATGAAGTTATCTAACAAGAATTTGCTCGCACTTAATTTTTCATTTGTGCAGTCATCAAGCAAGGAATGCCAAGACTTTTGCACAACCTGATGTCTTCAGTGGCAAAGACCAGTCAGACAAGTTTTCCAAATAGAAATAAAAATAAATGCAAAAAAAAATAGAGACAAGATTACATGGAGAAGATAGGGTTTGTCAAGAAAGAGGAGACATATAATTCTTGGTCCCGTGGGAATTAAACACCCACAGTCCAATTAAAAACTCAAATTAATTTAAAATTCAACAAATCAGTCAAATAAATTAAAAACTCAACACAAAGTCTTCATTATCATTTAGGTATCTAAATATACTACTTCATCAGATCATTCTGGATTATAAACACGACAATAATAGCTTATACATATGAATTTCTTTCACAGCAAGATGGGAAATGGTTAGCTCATTAAAGGTATACCACTGAGAGGAAAATTGAAGTCATGATAGTCTCATCAGTGAGTATACACAGGCTAGAATATTATTTTCTAAACTGGGCCACAGGTTCTAGGTCAAAGGCCAAGTTCAAGTTGCTTGTCTTCCTACAAAGGCATTGAATGCGTCTCTTGTGTAATTATTATCATGCAGATTCTCCAGCCTAGGAATGGATGATGGGTAAAGACACATTAATACCCATTTTACATTAGATTAGTCCACCTCAGCTTCCATGTCGAGGTTCCTTCCTCCCCAGTATCACTTGGCAGTTGTATCCCAGTGGCGGTGTCGACCACAACAAAGCTGTAGCTTAACTATCTTCTTTCATTCACTAATCCTTTATTCATTCATGCATACATTCATTGAATGCTGATTTTAAGCAGTGGCATGAGGGGCCATTAGCTACACAGTTTCAATCACTCACATTTCATACCCCTAAGCCATTTCTATGTCCAAATCCTAGAGATCCCACTGCATTAAACTCTCACTAACATTTATTTTTTAAGTGCTGGGCTGGCACTGGTGATATGGCTGAGACCATGCTTTGCCCAGGTCTCCATCCTCAGGATTATAGAGTCGGGGGAGTGTCTGCTTGGGCTAAGGTAGGAACAGAATGGAGTCAGAAAGAGAATTCTGATTTCTTAAGATTTGTAAGCTGGAAAAGATATAGAAAAGGATGCAAGATGTAGACATCCCTAAATATTCTCAATTTAGCAAAGCTAAAAACTATAACTGCATTAGATCCTCATAGTGTGCCTCTCAGAAACAATCTTTAACGATAATTGAACACATAAATACATAAATGGTTCCTGATTTACATGTATCTGATACTGGTTCTATCCCTAATATGGAACAGAACACTCTACAAACACATTGAAACATTTGCAGTCAGGTTACCTGTGACTCCACAGAGAGGTGGGATAACTTGCCTATGATCACTCTGCTGGTCTGTGGGGAAGACAGGATTCCAACCCTGTTTGTCTGGCCCCAGGCCCCATACCCTTAGCCACCCTCTGCGTGAGCTGTTGATGCGACTAATTTCACTTGTCTTCCCATTCTGGAACTCTTTGCAATGTAACAACCATAATTATTTTGGAGGAGGAGTCCTCTGTGATGTAAAGAAAATAATTCTTGCCTGAGAGTTCTGCTCTTGCTCCAACTTTCCTAATTAGCCCTGTGAACAAGGGCCAGTGTCCTCACCTCCTTACCTCTCAGTTCCTTCAACTAAAAAATACTAACATGGAACTGAACGGTCTCAAAAGTCTTTTTCATCCCTAAAATTCAAAGTTTTAGGAAACAATACATTCTAAATCAGGGAGTATATATTTTAAACTAAGGTGTATGTCACAATTTAAAGTTTTAGCCTA